TAGGGTGGGTGGAGCACTCACAATCCCAGCATTGGATAATGAATTAATCACAAATTCTAGAAGCCTGCCCCATAATTGGGTGATGCTTTGGGGGAACATCTAGGCATAAACCATAACAATGCTCAATAAAGTAAGATGAGCTTTTGATTTGTTTCTTTTTTCTTTTGGGGGGAGTATAGGAAATTGAACTTAGGACCTTGCACTTGCTAGGCAGGCGCTGTGCCACTGGGCTATATCCGTGGCCTCATCTTATTTCTTTATAATAAGCCTATATTCCTAATGACCTCAATATAACTAAGAGGAAGTATGGTGAAAATTCAGTTTCTTCTCTCAAATTTGCCTTTGAAAGCTCAGAAAAAATTTTTCTTCTTGTTTTTAGGTATTATTCATAGTACTTTATTTCACGTCAGCTCAGTAATGCTGACAAGAGTCATCCTTACAGATTACTTGCATCTTTTGAAATATGAGAACCAAAAATGAAGAGTAGATTCCTTTGTCAAATAAGACTTACAAGTGAGAGCGATTTATACAAGTTCCCTCTTTTTTCTTTCTTTTATTTTTATTTTTTTATTTTTTAGTACAGGGTGTACAGGGTCTCACTACACAGATGGGACTCGTAATGATCCTCCTGTTTTCAGCCTCCCAAGTGCTGGGATTATAAACACACACCACCACATACAGAGATCCAACCCTGGTCCCTGTGTCTGCCTAAGCAGGTGCTTTAATCCACTGAGCTATCTGGCCAGCCTGGGATAAGTTCCCTCTTGATTTAAATTGAAGCAAGTCATTGTTTGCAGAGCAGCAAGTTCAGAACCAAGAGTTTCTTGTTTGACAGTTTTTTCATTCAGAAATTTTCTGAGGGCCAGGGAGATGGCTCAGTGGAATAAGCACTTCCCTAGCAAGTGCAAGGGTCTGAGTTCAATCCCTGGTTCTGAAAAAAAAAAAAAAAAGAAAGAAAAAAGAAATTTTCTGAACCCCAAATAGTGACCACTCAAAAGAAAGCATTGCGTATGTAATTTATTTTTTAAATAAATTTTTATTTATTTATGTATGTGGGGGGGCAGCTCAGCCTGCCTGGGGGCGGGGCTGGCCAGCATGTGGTGCTGGGGGATTGAACTGTGGTCCCTGTGCTTTGCTAAGCTTGTTCTAAGTAGGTGCTTTAGACCACTGAGCCATCTCTCCAGCCCCTGTAATTTAGAAATAAGTGGCAAAGCACAACTTTTATGTTTTTATGTATAAGTTAAGAAATTTTTAGGGCTGGAGAGATGGCTCAGTGGAATAAGTGCAAGGGCCTGAGTTCAATCCTTGGTTCTGAAAAAAAATAAAATAAATAAATAAATAAATAAATTTTAAAAAACTGTTTAAAAGAAGTGGCAGACATTAATGACACCTCACCCCTAAATACTTCATGCATGCGTCCCCTAAAAACAAGTATATTATTATATGTAAAAATTACAGTGCTATCTGGATACTCCAGAGAGCTCATATCACTCAACAATGACTTAAAATACAGTCTGTTTTTCCAGTTCTCCCCACAGTATTGTTTTATAACATTTGTCTTCCTAATTGTGGTCCAGCCAAAGTTTACTGATTATACTTGATTCCTTTAACCTAGAACAAACAATACCTCCCCTCTTCTTGATCCTTTATCATATTAAGATTTTTTTTTATTTTAAATTTTAGTGTCCACAAGGTCTACAGGGTTTCACTGTGTAGATCAGACTCGTGGTGATCCGCCCTGTTCCCAAGAGCTGGGATTCCAGGCCACGCTGCCACACCCAGTCTTAATCGCCCTCTCAGTGCACCCCAGGGGCAGGGCTATAATATTAAGATTTTTTTTGAGGCATCTGAACCAGTTGTCTTGTAGAATGCTCCATAATCTAATATTGCCTTTTATTGTTTATTTTTTGTGTTTTGTGTATTTATTTATTTTTGAGACAAGGTCTTGCTATGTAGTTTAGGCTAGTCTTTAACTCATTATATGTCTCAGAATGGCTTCAAACTGATGGCAGTCCTCCTGTCTCAGCCTCCTCAGTACTAGGGTTTTGTTCTTTTTGATTAGTATTCAGTAAGTTGTTTATGATAGGAATATACCACATAAACAATACATAGTTCCTGTTATGTCACATCCAGAGGCACAGCAATAGGAATTTGTTTAATTATTGGTGTTGAAGTTTTGTTATGCAAATCAGTTCTTAAGTGGATACAGATTAGATCACTTCACTGGGAAGGTCTATTATCTTTTATTTTCCATTCCCTTTTTTAGATGGATCTTGCTTAGTTGCTCAGGCTGACCTGGAACTTGCAGTCCTCTACCCTCAGCCTGCTGAGCAGCTGGGATTGCAGACACACACCACTGGGCCCAGCCTCCTTTTTCCTTTCTTTTAATAATTGGTAGTCTGTAAGGTGTTGCTTTGAGAAGGTGTAGCTTCCCCCCCCCCCTTAACTTGCTCAATGCTTTGAATTTCTCCTAGAGGTCTTTTAATGGATGTTAAGTGTGTCTGTGAAGCCCAGGAAATTTTTTTTGCATGCATGCATTTTCCATAGCCCCCAAATATTTAGATGATTTTTTTTTCTGTTGGCTAGGTACCTTCTACAAGTTTCAGTGCATCAGAAAAATGTGGTATAGATGGTGGGTTTCTGGGAGCTAAGAACCAACCCTTTTTATCTAATTTTCCTGATTACCTGACCTCACATTGTGTAGAGTCAGGTACTTCATTTTTGTTGTTTGGGAATAATTTGTCTGGCCTTTCACTTATCTTGAGCCAAATATTTTGATCTTTTATGTTTAGTATAAACAGTCCTAGAAAATAAAACAAAGGGGGTTAGCTCTTGGATTTTGGTGTTCTCTTTGAAGATTCTTGGACATAAGCATTTTTTTTTTTTTTTTAATATTTAGTTATAGGGTCTCACTACACAGATTGGACTCGTAGTGATCCTCCTGTTTTCAGCCTCCCAAGTGCTGACATTGAAGTAAACTTAAGTCATGTGAAAATGACTTAAAACACTACAATATATGATATATGTTTTAGTTGTCTAAGTATTGGTTGTATCTGTAAGAATTTTCAGAAGTAAAAAGTATCTGTTTTGACTGTAGACACAGGGCCTAGTTGGTGACTTGAGGGAACCTTAATTCTATTATTAACCTAATACAGAATGCCTTTACAAGTGGTTAATTTTTTATGTTCCCTGCTCAACCAGGGAACAGTGTGGAATTAATCATGCGAGTGGCCAGGTGTGTTTGTTTAGCCTACTGATTAGCCTGTTGATAACATCAGTTTGCTTTGCATGAAAAAGTGTCAGGTGACTGACAAAATGCTAGCTAAATTTTGAATAGTATACTTTATTTCATTTATTTGTTTGGTTTTGGTCTTTTGGAGACAGGGTTTTGCTATGCAGCTCAGGCTGGCCTTGAGCTTGCTTTGTATCTCAGGCTGGTCTTGAACTTGCAATGATCTTCCTGCCTCAGCCTTCCCAGTGCTGGGATTACAGGCATGTGCCACGATGCCCAGCTCTGAATAATCCAGATGACCCTGTGAAAGTAGGTATTTTTATTATAATTCCCAGGTGAAAAAAAGACCTGAAGAAGTTAACTTAGCCAATAGCAAACAGATTGTAAAGAGCAGGGCAAGGATCTTGGAGTTTTAAATTTCTTGCTTTCTGACTTACTATTCTGAAAGGTTCAGGGATCATAGGGGATCTGAATATAAAAGTTGGTCCTTGCTATCAAGAGCCTTTACACCTATCAGGCCTGTTTTTTTTTTTGTTTTTGTTTTTTTTGTTTTTTTTTTTTTTTTTTTTCCAGAAACCAGGGATTGAACTCAGGCTCAGGCCCTTATGCTTGCCAGGCAAGCACTTGTTTTACTGAGCCATCTCCTTGGCCCCCAGGCCTGTCTTAGATCAGCAAATTATGGATAGCAACTTAAGGGAAGAGCTAAGGAAGTATAGAAAATGGCAAGATAAGCCACAGGTGCAAGGTCAAGTTCCTGAGATGAGGGCATGTGGAGGACAGGAGAACAAGAGAATACCCAGGCATGCCGTGGAGAGCACAGTGCCTGTTGCAGAAGGGGAACTGGTCTAGCGCCGCTAGAGTTAGGTTAGGCCTAAATTGGAAAGTGCCTGGAGTACCACTGGGAAGAACCCGTTCTCCAGGTGTTCTGAGCTGGAGAAGAAAAACGTGGTCCCACAGCAGATCCACTGGTACTGTTAGATGCTTAATTTTTTTTTTTTTTTTTTTTAAGTACAGGGTCTACAAGGTCTCACTACACACATTGGACTCCTGTTTTCAGTCTCCCAAGTGCTGGGATTACAGGCGTGCACTACCATGCTGACTCAGCCCTCTCAGCATGCCCCAGGGGCAGGGCCGGCATGGCGTGCTGGGGATGCTTTCGTCCACTGAGTTATCTGGCTGACCCTCAAATGCTTAATTTTCAAGGTGCCATTCTTATCAAATATTGTATGTCACAGATGCCTCACTGTAATGCCAGCACTGTACTGTATCTGATGTGCAAATGAGAAACTAAGGGCTCATCAGGAAGATCAAGTGCAAAACATCAGTAGCTGGAGCTTGGATTCAGACTCTTATCTGCCAGAGTCTAGAGCCTGTTCCATTTTGCTGTGTGATACTGTGTCACTTCTTTTACTAGGTCACTTGATAAGTTACTAATTTTGAGAATATGACTTTGGAAAAGAATATTTTCAAAGTTCTGAGAGGACTGCTCCTCTTTGTGTATTCATGTTAAGGAATCTACTGCCAAACCTAACATAGTGTGCTTTAATTTGGGATCAGAGCTAGATGAGAAATTGAGGAATCAGATGAAGTTTTATTTACAAGCTCGTGACATCAGTACATGGTCATAAATGCTTCTCTTTCCATTTTCAGTGTCTAACCTGTATTGGCCCTAAATAAATCTTAGATGGAGTGAAGCTCAGTTCCCAAGGGCATTTAATATACATAAAAAGTAATATTTTCCCTAGCTAAAATATGTTTCTTCTGGCAGGCTTCCTACTTACAAAGACGATGACTACTGATGAAGGTGCCAAGAGCAGTGGAGAAAGCCCAGCAGCCACTGTTGCTGAACAAGGAGAGGATGTCACCCCAAAAAAAGACAGAGGGGTATTAAAGGTGAGGCCACACAAGTGAATGACACATAGAGAAATCTGCTCTCTAACATATTGTTTATAAAACTTTTGCATGGGGGGATGGATAGTATTTATTCAAGCTCATACTAAGTGCCAAAAACTACAGTGAGATTCCTATGTCTTCCTCTTCTTAACTCTGAGGTTTTTATTTTTAATCACAGATTGTAGATGTTGAAACTGAGGCTGAGCTAGTTAAATTAGCTTGCCCCAGTAGCGTACATCTTAGTAAGGGCAGGTGCTGGACTTCTGGTCTCAGTTATGTCTGGCACCAAAAGGCTGCATCTCAGTAGTCTCAGCGTAACAAATGAGTTACTAACTTAATATATCATTTTAAAAGTATATTAAAGCTAGCTAATGATAATTTTAAAGATTTTTAGAGGGAGATAGTTAAATTGTAAAGTTTGAAAGGATTTTTAACCATATTAATAGTGACCAGGCATGGTGGCACACACCTGTAATTTTCAGAACTGAAGAAGCTAAGGCAGGAGGATTGCTTTGAATTTAAGGCCAGCCTGTGCTACACAGTGAGACCCTGTCTCCAAAAATAGGAAAGAAAAGAAAAAAACAAAAACAAACAAACAAAAAAACCCATGCTAATAGTGTTCCCGTATGCAGTGAGTATGTGTATGTTGTCCATAAAAATCTTACTTTTGAGCTTGCTTTCCTACTTAGTAAACATATATATTGTCTTAGTTACTTTTCTCTTGTTGCTGGGACAAAGATCCGACACTCAAAATGAGGGAAAGAAAGGTTTATTTAGCTGACAGTTACTGGAGGTTTCAAGACACTGGAGGAAAGTCTGGGGCACTGCCCTGTCCGGGATGACCCTCTCCACATCTCTGGGAAAGCATAGGCTAGCCAGTTTAACATCGATTCTCTCTGGCCCCACCCCTTGGGCCCCACCCTAGTCCTCTGGCCACACCCCTCGAGCCATGTGCTGCCCCTCAAGCAGCAACTGCCCCATGATTTACATGAGGCTTTGGGGGACAACTAGATAGAAACCATTTTATATATATAGATAGATAGATAGATAGTTTGTTTGTTTGTTTGTTTGGCTTTGGTTTTGATTTGTTTGTTTGAGAAAGGGTCTCACTTTGTAGTTCAGGCTAGCCTTGAACTCACTATGTAGCCCAGGCTGCATCAGATTCACAGTGGTCCCCTTGCCCCGGCCTTCTGAGTGCTGGGATTACAGCCATGCACCACCAAGTCTGGCAAACCTATATGTCTTTTTTCGGTGTATAGTTAATCACTTTCACATATTTTTATTTGTTTTTGTTGATGATGTTGATTCTTCCATTTTATAAGTTAATACACTAAAGCTGAGAGAGGTCAAAAAGCTTTAATCACATTAGTTATTTCTCCTGCACTAGTGTTATAGATACAAGGTTTTTTTTTTTTTTTTTTTTGATACAAGTTTTGTAGAGCTGTTTTGTTTTTGAAAAGATCATCTTATACATTCTAAGTATTACTGCTATTTTTAATACCTCCTATGTCAGCAGTATGAATTTGTTTTATCTAATCCTACTTAAGTGAAAGTGTTTCTTTTATTCCTGGATCTCTTCAATATACATGTATTCCTGTTAGCTTGCTATATGCTAAACCAGATTTGGGGTTTACATCATGCTATCTTCTTGGGGGAGGGGGGTGTCCAACCTTTTAGTTACATTATTCATTCCAAATTCCAGGATGCTTCTAGAGACAGTGGAGATTCTGCAACTGTCCTCAGCATCTTCTTCCTCATCTTTCTAGATTGCTCACATTCAGTGGACAAAGTCCCTAACTTGCCTCAGACCTTGCATCTTAGTATGTTTTCTTTTGATGTAAGAGAATCCCTAAGGCTGGGTGAGTTTAAAGAGCAGAGATTTATTTTGGCCCACAGTTGTGGAGTCTGGGAAGTCCATGTACATCTTTTTGCTTCTAACAAGGGCATCAGTTCATGGCAGGAGGCAGAAGAGCAAGTGGGCATGTATTGAAAAGATAAAACGCAAAGGGTAAAGTAGCTTCATAGCAACTTGGAGTGATTAGTCCAATCCCTCTGGAGTCAGAACTCATACAAGAAAGGCATGAACCCCACTAATTACCTAACTGCTTCTTAAAGGTCCCATTTCTCAGTACTGCAACAGTTAACAATCAAATGTTGGTTTGAGTTTCAGCAGAGACAAACCATGTTCAAACCATAACACGCTGTGTTCTAGAATAAATCTAATAATAAGAATTTAAGTTTGTAAGGAACCTTTGAGACCAAAAGCCTTTTATTTTAAACTGTGTTATTTATCACTGTCTAGAGCTTCAGGTTCACTGTGGGGCTTTTGGTTAAAATTAAAAGTACATCTAGTCAGCACTTGGGAGGCTGAGGCAGGAGTATTGCCAGAAATTCAAAGCTAGCCTTGACTACTTAGTGAATTCAGGGCCAGCCAGGACTACATAGTGAGACCTTTTCTCAGTCATTCAATCAGTCAAAAAATAGACCTATAACAACATAACCTAAGGTAGTGGTGGCAGACCTATGGCACATGTGATTAATGGGCTGTTTATATCATTGAAAGGTCTAAAACTTTTCCTGTCACTCACTAAGGCAATTTAGTTACCTGTGTTTCCTGTCCGTAAAATTGTCAGAAATACTGCTAATATCGGGGTAAGATAAAGTACTTACTATGGTGTCTGTCTTATAGTAATCTCTCTCACTATTATACCCTTAAAAAAAAAAAAAAAAACCAAGACAGGTTTGGAAAGTTAGTAACTTCCTGCTTTTATATTTTTCAAATGATTTGAGACCAGCTTCTGTCTTTAAAGCAGCTTCAGATTAAGGCACATGTGTATAGTGTTGGGAACACCTGAAATGACACCCCAAGTGCTGTGCTGGTGGCTGTCAGACTCCCTGGCAGCTAGCCATACTCTATCGACAGTTACTTACAGTGCACGTTCTTGCTGATGACCAAGCACAGAGCTCCCAAAATATCATGCACATCCATTACCATTAGCTCTTTTAGAATATAATGTGGGGGGCTGGGGAGATGGCTCAGTGGAGTAGGCGCTTCCCTGGCAAGCACAAGGGCCTGAGTTCAATCCCCGGTTCCGCAAAAAATATATATATATAATGTGGTTTCTTTTAATGTTTTCTAAGACTTTATTTTTTTAAGTCCAAGAAGGGCAGCCATGTTTCCTTGAGCTAGGAAAGTTGTGGGATCTTAAATTCATGGTGTTTATCTGGGGGGAGGAATGTACATCTAAGAGAAGAATTTAAAAGCAGATAATTGAGTTCCATAATTAAAGCGTCTGCTTGAGTTCGATCCCCGGCCTGCTGTGCCAGCTCCCAACCCCCTCCCAGGCGTACTGAGCCAGAGATTGAGTCTGGGCTTGGTGGCATGCACCTGTCCCAGTTCTTGGGCGGCTGAAAACAGG